GGTATACTTACCACTAGTAACTAAAAAAAAAAAAAAAAAAAAAAAATCCAAAATGAATTAGTGACTTATTAGTTAATTTTCATCATTTTCTTTTTGTCGAAACACATATTCAAGCATATGCAGTTGTTGGTTAAGGCAACCAACTTTTAATATGATATTATATTGTTCTTCTTAAGCCATAGCTGCATGATTTTTTGTGAGACTTTAGTTGTTAGCCTAAACCAACTCAAAGACATTCGTAACATGATGTTGATGTGGTATTCACTTTAAGTTAAGTGCACATGATCTTTCCGAAAACCCTCACACCAAAACTATTCAAACACACTATATAGTAACTAATTTTCTTTATCAACTTCTAATGTAAAATTTTGTTTGTACACTCGGAGGCGGATTCAGTTTTTAATGTTTATGGGTTCCTGCAACGACTTCGAGTAAATTTTTAATAGTAACTGGGTTCACATTTAAATATTTATAGATATTTAATGAATTTTTAGAACACATTTACACTGTTTGGACAAAAGCTACTTGGTTCACGGGAACCCGCAGATGACAGGCTAGATCCGCCCCTATGTACACTTAACAACCGTAACAAAATCTGGTATTCGCAACCCGCGATGAGAAGCCAGAGAGAAAGCACCAAACTTTTTATCGTATTATGTAACTATTTTTCATGACTCATTATGTAATTCGGGCTTAACTAGTTTTATTTTAAATTTATATTTTCATTAAAGGAAGATCAAGCATGTAGCTAAATTTTAAAAAGAGATCAAGAAAGGAACTGATATATTCTTGATTCTTAACATTTCTTAATGGAGAAAGAGATGAGGAACCCACGTTTCCTAGGATTGGATTCTCTAACAAGTTGTCATAATGTGACATTATTTAAGTATATTTTCAAAGGGATCGACTCAAGACTAGCCAAGTATCTCTCGGCATATACTATTGGCAAACAAATTAAACACGACTAAATGGTAAAATATGCAAACTCTAAGCTAGCATTCTATGCAGGGGTGACTTACTGAATTTGGTGGCCCAAAGTCGAACGTTAAGAAAATGCCTTAAATTTATTTAATAAAATTTTATATATTTATGATTTCTTTAAATATATATATATACACATATATAAATTTTATGTATGTATTTTGGCCATTCACTAGGCTACTTTCTAGATCCTCCATCAAAGACATCTACTAACTTTACTCATCAAGGCTTCGATTTTTTTTTTTTTTTTAATAAGAAACATCCGCTGTTAAGAAAACGTTTTCATAAGTTCCCGTTTCCTAATGATCTTAATTTTTGTACTAACAAAATAGATTTTAAAATAATTTTATACATTTGAAATAGTTCAAATTTATTTAAAATTAATATAAATGACTTGATCTACTTTTTATAAGAAATAATCTACTTTAAAAGATGTCACAAAACACTTTGCTTTTATTTCGTTATTATCAATATCGTCATCAAATTGTTATTTTGCCATATTGCATGTTTATTATTAAAATCCAAATAACCTCTATCTTTTTCTAAATTAAATAACCTCTATATCCAAAAGGAAAAAGCATAGATTAGTATTTTTTTTATAATAATAATTTTATAATAATATAATATTAACTAATAATGAAAAAAAAATGGGGGCCTTCAACTTGAGGTCTAAAGCAATTGCTTTAGTTGCCTCCCCGACATTGATTCTATGTGCTTCCAATTATCGTAGTTCTTTATTTAATTTTTTTGGCTCATTTGGACATAATTGCAAAAGTATCCATCAAGCAATCTCATCATGATACTGGCCTTTTGCTTCTTATGGGAAAAAGACAACTTTGATTACATCTGCTTTTAACGGCCTACTGTATCATGTCACAAGCGCACAGCTGACTGGAATTATTGCAATAGCACACGCCAACATCTTCAGCTGAATATAAAATTTCCACTTTTTCTACTGTATCTTACCATCCGACCTATATATTAACTAAGTTCTTGGTGTCACCAAGTATGTGGTGGTCAGAATTGTTGAAATTTTTTGGAACCTATAATCAGAAATTTCATATTCGAATCTTGAAAATAAAGAATATTTCAATTAAAGCCTTTTACCCCTTTTATACTTGATAGAAATCCGGATTAATAAAACAATAAGTTTTGAATATATTGGGCGCTTAAAATTGAGAAAAACGTCTTGATGCTTTGATAGAATTTTACCTAAACTTCGACCATTGTCCATACCTCCTCTAATGTAGATTGCACTACAAGCCAAGTGAAATTAAAAAGGGCAAAAAAAAAAAGGGGGGGGTGGGTGGGAAGAGGGTGGGGGTGTTGTTTTTTTTTTTTTTAGGGGGGGGGGTGGTGGTGGTGGCTATCCAGTGATCAGTTCATGTAAATTAACCAGAAATTTATGGATATTAAACGAGCAGGAATAAGTATTTTTAAATCTACATCAAAGGAATATCTTAAGCAATATAATATTAGCAAGAAGAGGGAAATTATCGTACCCGGGACAAGAGGCAAATTAAAGACTGCATTTGGTTTCTTCCAACTGAATCTCCAATAAATGCCAAAGACTTGTTCCTCATCATATCCAAAAACTGATACGGGTTGAAAATGGGCAGGTCGCACCCTTTTGGTTTCCACCTCCATTTCAAGAAATCAGTATCAGGCCTCCCATATTTCATGCAATTTTGGTGCTCGTGTATTGCCCAACATGTCGTGTTCGTGTAATATGGACCGTCTGGATTAGGAACCCAATCTCCAATGAATACATCACACGTGTCTTCCTCCGCAATCTTTATCTTTTGGTCCTTAGTCTGATATGGTTGTGATGTTTTAGAAGAATGATTTACTACTATAACATCTGCAGCATATAAATTAAAAGGGTGGTAAAGAGGGATAAGACCAAGAATGATTAATGTTAAAGAAACAAGTACTACTATTCTTGGAGTTCTCTGAGCATTTCTCCAAAAGAGAAGCTCCATAATTTGGAGAATTAATGGAGAATTGAAAGCAAAAATCAGAAATGGGATTATGGAAGAAGGACAATAATTACAAGTTGGCACATATAAATGACACAAATAAACGTGCTAATAACTAATTATAGGGTTTTAGTTGGACTAACTCCATGTCTTTGCAATTATGCAATTATTGGGTGCTATGGGTATTGTTTCTAATCAAGAGTTAGTGACCCAATCCTTGCAATAATTACAAGTTGGCACATATAAGTTCTTCCAAATTTTTATGTACATCCAATCCTTAACCACCTTCTTATAATTAGAAGTGGAGAAAAATATTTAGAGTGCAATAATTATATATTAACTCTTGTGTGAATTTGGTTCGTGTCTTAATTTGTTAAATAATGACATATTAATATGATTAACACGAAGAAAATTTATTTACATAATCTGGCTATAGATTGTGATCAGATTTACTCGAATTAATTAGCCAAATCACCAAATATACTTAATTCACCTAACCTTAAAAATTAATAAGCTTAATATATTTATTTTTCATAAAAGCACTCAAACTTAGACCAAAAGTAAATTAAATAACTTCAGTTTTTCATAATGCAACACATTAATTTCTCCTGTTACTAACATTTCAATCGAACTAAAAAAGGAAAAATGTGAGGTGGGCGGTGCTAATAATTTGTACATATATGTGGCTGATTGAACGCGGTAACCATATCATCTATATAATCTATAATACAATTATTAATTTCTGAAGTGATGACACTTGGTATGCATTTCTTTTGGACCATAATTGTGTAAGCAATTATACTATATAATTGTTGATAGTCTTGACAATTACTCCTGTTGTAAAGAAAAATATGTCATGATTTTCTTCGTGTTCTAAAACATTTATGTGGCATAATCTATTGGGTTAATATCTTCTTGAAATTGTCTGCTTTCAAGCAATGTCTATGCCATTTGTAAGCATTCAACTTTAGAATGCCTAATATCCTTTTTTTCCTCCTTTTCTTTATATTTAAAACTAAAACCGTTCACCTAAGCTTTCACTTCCTGTGGTGATGGGAGATTTGGCCAAGCCCCCGACCATGTATATAACATATAAAATAATTTTCGTATATGTACCATATATGAAACTATATTACCAAATATGTTCATAGTTTGCATATTACCATTCATGCAAATAGTATTTCTACAAAATATAGATCATGCATTAAATAAGGAATCATTGTAGCTGTAGACTTCCTTATTTAGAGGCTAAAATTGGGGGATTAAATATTCTTCCAGATCTTCCAAACGCAAATCACGCACATTAATCTTATTCGTCAGTTTCGTTTCAAATTTAGCTTCTCTACATCAAACGCAATTATTCTTCTACAACTCAAAAACGAATTGATTATTCTTCTACAATTCAAAAACGAATTGATCATTCTTCTACAATTCACAAATAAAAAATGACTAAATCTTCTACAGTTCTTCTACATCAAACGCAATTATGTCCAAGTTTCAGTAATACAAAGCAAAGGAAAAGAGAGCAGCAATTCCACCATTGACACCCATTAAAAAGCTTGAAAGCTTTGAATTCAAATTTGGGTTTTTTAAAAATCATTATTTATTTGGATTAGGTGTTGTTGAAAATAATTGGGAATATGGTTTGGAGTTTATATCTCAATTATGAGGGGTTTTGGTGAAGATCAGACTTGGTTTTGACTGAATTTCAGATTCACTACTAGAATTTCGGAAAAAAGCGACCAAAAAATAGCGACCTAAGTTCTCTTAAGAGAAAAGCGACCGACGTTGGTCGCCAAACTAGCGAAAATAATAAAATAAATAAATGAAATAAATAAGCGACCAAGCTTGGTCGCCACTTGGTCGCAAAATTAGTCAAAATGTTGACTGGACTGGTCAGACTTGCTTGGTCAAAGAGTTACTGAAATTAGCGACCAATGTTGGTCGTTAAAGTGGGACCCACCTTCAAAATTTTAATAATTATATTATTATTTCAAAAAAATATAAAATTTAAATATATATAATTTAAACTTGGCGACCAACGTTGGTCGCTAAATAAAAGGTAAGCAGATAGCGACCAAGTTTGGTCGCTAAAGTGGGACTCGGTTATAAATTTTAATAATTATATTTTAATTTAAATTTTGCGACCAACTTTGGTCGCTAAATTAATTTTATGTATAATTAGCGACCAAAGTTGGTCTCCATTAAGGTCAACAATGGTCAAAATTAAAAATCACTTTTGTATTTACTAGCTAAATAATATAAATGTAAGCCGTTAATATATATAATATATATATAGTTACGCTGTATTATGCACTAAGTATAAGTGTACTAGGTAATATTATATCGAATATATAAGGCGTATATATATATATATATATAATATATATACTTACGCTCTACTATGCATTTAATATAAGTGTATTAGGTAATATTATATCGAATATATAAGGCGTATATATATAAATATATATATATATATNAATGATCGATCCAAGATAACTTAGTGAACTGACCCCCAAGTCGAGGGGACGGAGAACCTACTGGCCTGCCAAGTACATAGGACTGCCACCATCTACGTGCTCTGCCCTCAAGCTGAAAAGTAGTGAAGTCAACTCCATGCGACTCCAATATCCTCATGTTATGCAGCCTGTCCCTGCACCTGTCTATGAAGTCCTGAGCATCCTCATGACGCTCACCCCCAAAGACTGGAGGATGAAGCCTGGTACATCTGTCTAATAGCTTCTGTGGATCACCATCCACAGCTGGCCTGGGCTGGGGTGCCACTGCAGCAACTGGCTGAGCCCCATCTGCGGGTAGTGCCCACGGAGTCTGATATACTGCAGCTGCATGGCCTGGAGCCTGAGCAGTAGGGGTCTGGGCTCCCCCTCCTGCCTGTGACGTGGTTGGGTCTGCTGGAAATAAACCAGCCCGAGTCATAGTGTCCGTGAACCGTAGCATGCAGCCCATGACCTCCTGAAATCCCGGTGCTGTCATAAAATCCGCCGGGATAGGCTCAGCCGCGGGCACCTCGCCCTGCTCCTCAATAATAGGGTCCTCCACAAGATCTGCCGGTGGTGCAACTGGAACGGCTCTGGGACGCCCTCGTCCCCTACCATGGGCCGGTGCCCTCTCCCGGCCTCTACCTCGACCTCTCGCAACGGGGGGAGCAGCTCCTCCCGGGTCCGGAACGTCGCGGTACGAGTTCTCACCATCTTTGAGAGAATAGAAGAGGTAAATTAGTACTCTAAGCACTGCACGACAGGAAATGAATAAAGAGTAGTCTTTCCTAATACCCTATAGCCTCTCGAAGATAAATACAGACGTCTCCGTATCGATCAACAAGACTCTATCAGGTTTTCCCATAACTCATGAGACCTACGTAAACCTAGTGCTCTGATACCATATTGTCACGACCCATTTTCACAATAGGTCATGAGGGCGCCTAACACCCTTGTCAGGCAAGCCATTTGCGGAAACATTTATAAATACTTATGTCGCTTTTAATTAAAAGTAAGTGAAATAAACATTCAAGGTGGAATTTAAACCAGAAGAACTGAATACTGTAATAATATGACTACACAACCCAAAAAAAATGATCGTCTACAAAGTGTGTGCCAGAACCTGGTGTCACAAGCTACGGGCAACTAGTAGAATATACATCCAAAAGAATACCACAGTACCCTACTGTCTGGATCCGAATAGACAGAAAATAACAATACAAAAGAAAGACTTCTTCGGCTGCGGATCGACATGGAAGGAAAGCAGCTCACCGTAGAAGTCCCAAGCCTGCTCACGAATGCGCACCAGAGAAATAACCGGATCCACCTGCCTCAAACCCTGTACATTTAAGTACAAAAGCGTAACATGAGTACATAAACAATATGTACCCAGTGAGTATCCCGCCTAATCTCGAAGAAGTAGAGACGAGAGGTCGACTTGATACTCACTAGGGTCAAGATAATATAATATAATTATGCTATTCTAAAGCATGAAAGTCACCAATATTCAACAAGTTATAACCAAGAGCAATAATCATGTTCTTGTCCTTATTTCAGTTTCCATTTTTCATTTTCAATTTCTAAGCAGGTAGGCATGTCATGTTCAACTATCAGCATATATTTATATATATATCATATGCAATCACACCGAGGTCGACGGCCCGCTCCAACAGAATTAAAATGTGCACTGCCGAGGGTCGAACGGCATGAACCATAGATGCATCTATTCTCACCGAGGCGATCGGCCCGTTCAATAAATATCAAGAAAACATCAAGAATGCACACGAAGGTTCATGCATATACCAGGAAGCTCTTACCAAGGCTTAGCAAGTTCATACGTTCACTTCGTATTTCCTTTAAGTCTGTAGCATATCATGAATGATCACAGTAGCAATTTAAATAAGAGATACTTTCCAATTAGGCATGATGTGGGTCCTAAACTACCCATACAATTAATATCATAGTAGCTACGCACGGACTCTCGTCACCTAGTACGTACGTAGCCCCCGCATTTAGCAACAATTATTCAGTTATTACACCTATGGGGACAATTCCCTCTTACAAGGTTAGAAAGGAGACTCACCTCGCTCCAAACCGCAGTTCCAATATCGAAGACAAGCCCAAGCTCTTATTTCGAAGCTGAACGATCACAAACTAGTTAAAATAGGTAAGAACTAGTCAATAAAGGCTTAAAAGGTCGAATTCTAACTATTTAAGTAATTTTCCAACCTTTTCCACAAGTTTACTAAATTCCGACCCCGGGCCCACGTGCCCGGATTCCGATATTTTTCGAAGGAAATTGTTCTCTACAACCTAAGGATCAATAATATATAAATTCTAGTCCATTTCATAACAAATTTCATGCTTAAATCTTAATTTTATTAAAACCCTAGGTCTAGCTCTAACCCTTTGATTTTATCAAATTTTTAGTGTTTAATCTACCTAATATACATGTATTTGAACTAATAATGAATGGGAGTAACTTACCTTGAAGTGCTATGTTGAAACCCTCTCTTTGGAAGCCCCCAAATCGCCTAAGTGTGGAGTGAGAAATGAAAAATGGCCTTTGAGTTTGAATTAAATGAACTCTCTGCCCAGCGATTTCCGCTTCTAC